AGTTTACCTCATGGGATGAAGCCATTAACCTGTACAGATTGTCATTTTAGTGATAGGGCAAAGGGGAATGGTTTTAAACTGAGAGGACAGATTTAGATTAGATTTTAGGAAGAAATTATTTACTGTGAGTGTGGGGAAGCACTGGAACAAGTTGCCCAGAGAAGCTGTGGATGTCCAATCCCTGAAGTGCTTAAGGTAAGGTAGGATGAGGCTCTGAGCAATTTGGTTTAGTGGAAGATGTCCCTGCCCATGGCAGGGGGTTCTGGAACTCAGTGATTTTTAAGGTCTCTCCCAAACCAAATCATTCTGTGATTCAGACTTGAATAATGGTCAGTGTCTGAGGCTTCAAAGAAAAGAAAGGAAAAAGGTTTTTTAAAAGCCAAAAAAAAAGATAGCACGAGAGATCTCAAATGTTTGCTACTTATGTAATGATAAGGACCGGAAAATTCTGCTCTGACCCTTGATTTTGTGCTTCCATCTTGAAGATTTGCTTATCCCTACATTTGTGACCAAAATGCACATATTCTTGCATAAGAAAACAATGTAACCTCTTCCATCCTTTTCAGGGGGACCAGCAGCAATGCATTGGTGGTATATTTCATCAGGGATGCAGTGGGGTTGTAAACTGCTGGGCTTGGGAGCTGCTTCATAGAAGAGGAAGCAGGAGCTGGAGTCAGTAATCACACTATGTCCCACTGCATTTATCCCCTGTCATACATTAATTCATGGATATTAAGTCCAGCAGGGACTGTTATGACCATCTATGCTGAACTTCTGCTTATGTTGTATAATTTAACCCTTTTTCCTGCATTGGACTGAACAACCTGTGACTACACAAGTATCTATTTTTAGAAACACCATTCATCCTGATTTAATCATTTCACATCAAGAATTCTGAAAAAAAGCCAGCTTTGGAAAGCTCTTCATGGGATTTTTCTAAATGTAACCAGGAGATAATTAGTGTGCCCAGGGTGATGCTAGAAGTTATTAGCTAAGGCCAGGGAACAGAACAAGATGAGCACTCTCCCAGCCTGTGCTGTCAGTATAAAAAAATCCTTCCACTCCAACGTCCATAGGATGTTCTCAAGCAAATTTAAATGCATGATTTGTTTTTCTTAAACCACTGGGTGTTAGTTTCATTAAGGGCTCCTGTATGTGAGGCTTCACTGTGGGGTCTCTTACTGTTCTGGACTATGTTCTAAGGTGAAAAGATGCTCTTTCAAGAACTGACAGCCAATGTAAGATTAGGGTTCAAGAATGCTTATCTGGTTTTGTTTTCATTTAAGTGGCTGAACAATGAAGCAGCTGTACTGCAGTCTTTTTTAACATGAGGCATTTTGGATGTAAAGAGGCAGGGGATACAGCTCCTGGCTTCTAGGCTTGACCCCCTAGGTTGTATTATTTATACTTTTGATAGAATTAACCATCATAAGGCGAGTTAAATGCGGGGCAGATATTGACCAGAAAACAGAAATCTATTGGAACTCTTAATCAAGCAAATTTCCACTGTTTCTTTGCAAATGTGTCATAATTTAGCTCATTGGCTCTGCTTTCTAATCAAATGTAAACAAACACACACACTCCTCTCTGTCCTTTTAAGGGGATATAATGTGTGTTCTTAAGAATTTGGGCCACAGGTTTTGAAGAGAAAATCTGCTTAGTGGCCTAGATAGTAATAAATCTGCTAGCAAATATAAAGAGAGAGATGAATGACAGATGTGCAGATGCAGTTAGGAGGAATTGTTACAGGCATGAGAGTTGTTTGTCCCTGAGTGTGCTCCCCTGCTCACTCAACCCAGGTGCAGTGTGCTCTCTGTAGGGTTTTGTGGGCACTGAATGCATTTGTTCTGAAGTCCAAGTAACAAGTGTTGCATGGTGAAAGTCTTTGATACCAGCTAGTAAGGAAAGGAAGAGGGAAGGAAAGCAAGAAAGAGGTATTAAAGTCTCCATGTATTTACTATAATCCTAGCTTGAGAACCACTGAGCTGGAACCTTCCCTAACCCTTCCAGCGAGGTCTCCTTGACAAAGCTACAGAAGCAGCCAACATGTTATGGTTGTGGGCACTTAATTTCTCAGACATGGAGGCAGTTTTGGTGTCTTAAGGCAGGTATAGGGTTTTAGCAATTGAACACAACCAAAAACCCCAACACAAAGCAACCAACCAAAAAAACCACCCCACAACCTAAAGCAAGCTAGTCAAACCCCAGCCAACCAAAAAAAAAAACCAACCCAAAACCAACCCAAAAAAAACCCCAGAAAACCCAAAGAACGCCCCCAAAACACCAAACAACTTATTATTTTACTAATTTAATTATTGGTTAAAGGTCTTTGTCCAAAGCAGCAGCTGAGGCACTCATTTTAAGCCCCAAATGTTTTTCACACTTATGCGTTTGAGATTAGACTAGTCCACCATCTTTTATATATGGGCAAGATTCTTTAATTAATTTTTTTAATCTCACTGTTCGCAACATTGAAATAAGTATTATTCCTTTATGCCAGCTTTATCTTCTGGTAATGATGGCATAGTCTTTTCACAATCTTTGAGTGTTTACTGCAGAGAAACCTGTTCTGAACCATTTTTTCTTCTTCTTGGCTTCTTTATGGTTACTTATTAGGTTAAATCAGAAGAGAAAAAACCTTTCCCATACTTAATGGGCTTTGATGAGCCATAAATTTAGACTCACATCCTACTTGGAATGTACTGGGAGTGAGGACTGATATGGGCAAGGGACTGTGAGCCACAAGTTTTCTTCGCCTGGATAAATAGTGATAGTAACATAGAGATCACTACTGGAAAAAATAAACATTCTTAAAAGTAAGCCATCATACAAAATGCATGTATCCCTATAAAGTAACACTAACTCAGTCACATCAGGCTGTATGAAATGGGGTTCTGTTCAGAGACTGCCTCCAGACAGTATAAAGAATTCACTGTATTTATCTGATTACAATTCTCTCCAGGAGCAAGTAATTTATTGTATTGTAAATCTGGCCACCTACCAGCAGTGAAAGCCTGTGTTTAGTGGAGCTCAGCTTTCCAAAGGACTAAAAAGCTGAGCTAGCATGCTAGTTCTGACTAGGGTAGAGTACTTGCCTTCCTTGGAATTAGACCATATGATCAAATTTTATCATTGTTTCATCTGATGAAGCAATGTATAGCACAAAGATTGTGAGGCAAGCGTGTTTAGTAATTTAACAAGCTGCAAATGTACTGTAAGATTTGATCCAAACCCCACTGTAGTCCATGGAGAGGAATGGTTTCTCAAACACAGCTTGAATGAGAGAGGGAGAAATAAAAACAGTGGAAAATTTTAGGAAAAGAAGAGCAAAGCAAAAAAAGCAGAATATAGTCATGGGCTAATCAGCACTATGTCACAGCTCTCCCTCTTTAATCCCAATGTATGGTGGACACTATTTCTGTTATTTTTTCATGTATTCTGTATGGCAAGGCCACAGCTAGGAGCTTACCTCTTTCTGGAAGAGAAGCACTAAGAGCTTGACCAGCTGGGTGTAAGGTTCTCCTGTCTGCACCAAACCTTGACAGGAAGATTTGCCCTTGCCCTACCTCACACTTCCCTTGATAGGCAAATGGTGATGCCTCTGCCTCTCTTTGGGCCTGCCCCTATCAGTCCCCTCCCAGGATTGTGGGCTCTTCATTTGTCTGCTGTTGTGCCACAAAAGCTCTCTTTTGTCTTCTACTCATTGAGGATTCAGTCATGGCTCAGAAACAGAGACCAACCAATTTCTCTGGGAGTTCAGAACTAATCTTAACAAAATCTCTTTGCACGAAGAAAATCACTTCCTTGAATGAGACTGAATAAAAATTAATGTGAATGCTTATCTGATAAAGTACCTTTTTTGTTTATGGAACTATTCTTCAAGTCTTTGCTTGTTCTCAATTTGCCCTTCTTACAAGCTCAAATTCAATCCAGGTCAAATAACTTTAACCTCTGTTAGACTCACCAAACTTTTACTTCATGGAACTTTTTTCCTTGAAGCCGAAGTTGGTTTTGTGTTTGAGTCCATTCTATTTGCAGCTCTAATCAAATGCATCAGATCTTCAAGTACACAAAACATTTATTTGGTCCAGTGTGAAGCCAGAGTCACTGATGGTCATGGAATTGCTCATTGACAAAATGGATGTTGGGAAAAACAAATGCAATTGGGAAAAGCTGCATGTTACTTGAGTAAATCTCCCTTCAGGAGGTCAGGCTGCTAAGCCATGGAAAAGTGGGGTACTCAGCAAGAGAAAAGCTTTGGGGAGGCTATGTGTGATCTGCCAATTTGACATCAAAGTCAGTAGATCAATAGGTCTCTGTGCTTCTCCCCCAAAGTATTTCTTTGCTGAAAAAAGAACCAAGTAAATGATGAAAACCTGTGTATTGCTGTGGCTGGGATGAGATACTTTGGAGTTTTATTTTATGTTTTGTGAGTTAAAGGCTCTTGGCAGATGAGAAGATGTGTGGCACATCACACATAAATAAGAAATGGCAGCTGCAGAGATGAAAAAGGAACCTGGGAACACCTCATTTAGGAATACCAAAGGGTAAACATGGTGCTGTTTTGCCAGGCTGACCTGTGCTGCTCAGCTGAAAACAGTGCAGACCACAAGCCAGCCATGAGACACGGCCCCCACGTCGGGTCTGTCATCACCCGCTCGTGGGCTTCTCCATGAGGAGATGCAAATCTTCCACTTGCCCAGGCTCTTTCCCCAGCTTATCTTCGGGTGCCCTACAGCACTGAAAGCACAGCCACACCTCTGTGGGTGTGTGTGCCTCAGAGGTGTGCCACAAACAGGGAGTTTGGCCAGTGGCCTCATTCACGTGGGTTTGTGTCCCCTCCTCTCGCCCACACCAGAGCAGAGCGGAGCCACTGGGGCGTTACGGCTCGCCTCCAAAACTCAGGGCAGGGAAACATGGGGTTATAGAGTCATGCTTGGAGGAGTTTGGGGTTTTTTAAATCTGTTGTTCAAACATTTAGTAAACATTCATACAGCTCATATTCTCAAAATTATTTATTATTGCTTTTTTATTAATTATAGGAACTGCCGATGCTTTGTCACATGGGAAGTAAAGAACTGCTTTGACTAACTAAATACTCAAATCAGGTTGGAGAAGGTTGTGGTTCATTTAATTAATCACACCAGCTGTTTATTGCTGTTCATGTGATGTGAAGAAGTAGAAATGGCTGTTCTTAAGCATGAGACTGCACCCATGCTGCTTCCTTCGAGACAGTTAAAAAAGGTGTTCTGCCCATGTCTTGAAATATGTAATGACAGGTGTACTTCTTTTAAGTTAGAGTTCTTAGAGTTTAACACCACTAATACCTGGTATATCATTTGTTGGGGACACATACCTTCCACTAGCAGCAGAAGGAGTTATGTGACTTATAGAAGCAAGTTAAAAGTTTGCAGTGAAATGGGAATTGTGAATGTACTATAGTGTGTCCTGTTCTTATCTATCAAAGGTTGAAAAGGACAGAAATATCAGAATTTGAGACTGGATTAATGAATACACAGGAAAAAGAAAAGAAAAAAACCCTTACCCAACTTTGAAAGTAGTTTCCTAGCAAAAATACCATAAGGCACTCTCAAAAATATAAACCCATGTGTTTTACTCCAATTTGCTGTAAAATTAATGAAATCTGGTATAGTAAGAGGGTGGAAAAGAATCCAGTGCATTGGATATTGATTGATTGCAAGTAATTTGAGAAACATATTTTATAACTTTAAAAGATGGAATAATTATATATATACAATTATATATATATATATATATATGTCTACAGTTGGCATGTATAAGAAGTATATGTAATGCACATGAAAAATCTGGCTTCCATCAATGTGTATAAACCCTGTTGGGCCAGCTCCTCAGCAGCATCAGCAATGGTAATCACTCTGAAATCAATGACCCCAACTCTGACAATTTGGACTGGCTACAGGTCTGCCTGTATTCATTTTTCATATGATAGATACAGAAAGGGCAGTGGTAAGACTGCTTGCCATGCAGGGCAATTGCTTATCTACTCTGATCAAAAGGGATAATTCCCAGATCAGAGTCAGATGATTAATCTGTGCACATTGTTCAGTCCAGGGTCTTTGTATTGTGGTCAGCAGCCCATGAAAAACCTGAGTGGGATGGAGCAGCACCTCTTCTCCCCTTGGCTGCCAGGCAGTAACAACTTTCTGTCACTACTCGTGTGGTCCAGATTCAGTCAGTGGCCTGGAGCTAAAAGATACATAACAACTAATGAATCTTTGGAATTGGAATTTGGAATTCTGCACTTGAATTATACATTTAAGACTATTTATCAAAATTACACAGTATTCTTTGAAGAAGAAAGTTTCTGCTTTTCACAGGCATAATTTTTTATGTCCTCTCTTGGAAAATCGTGGGTGGATTATGTAACTGTTATGGGTGTTTATTATTATCTGTACTGGGAAATCAATTGGTGCTGCAGAGGATAACAGCAAACACTTAGAGCAAAGAGGAGATGATACTCTCCTGTGGTGATACAGATGACAATGATGGATGGTAAATAGATGGTCAGAGAAAACCCTACTGTTAGCCTGGCAGGATTGACCTTAAACAGCCATGTAGGCTTATATATATTTTGTTTTCAGCCTGGCACCAAAGCAAAAGTAATGGGTGCAATACACACGGAGGCTGTGTGCCAGCAATAAAAATTGCATTTGCATCACTTTTGTTTGTGTTTAGAAAAAATGCTCTTGGGTCTGTTTGCTTGAGTAGTGAAGCAAGAATTTCATTATTTCAACGTGAGGCTCTGGCCTGAAGTGGAATATCAGCCACTAGTCCTTCCCTGTTTTTGCAGGCAAAAAACAATACAAAAATATATCCAAGTGTTTGACTTTCTCATGGTCCCTGAACACCTCAGTCACTGTGTCTATTTGGTACCCCATGACTGGAAGCACGTGCCAGTACTCACCTGCGCTCCTGGTTCCTGGTTCAGCCTTTCAGTTTGTCCTTTCTGTAGCTTTAAGTGCTGGTGGCAGGGATCTCTCCAAGGATTATCATCACATAAAGTCTTACAGAGGGCACAGTGACACAAAGACAGACTCTCTTTGCCAGACTCAGTATGAACGCATCGTGAGCCACAGTACCTGCCTGGAGTGAGGCACAAACCCCACATGTGGCAAGTAGGAAACCCCCAGTGCTTTCTGCAATAAAGGTGCAAGGCCTAGTTTAATTCCAGCTTGGCTCTTTAAGTGGTCCAGCCACATTTGCCAGTGGTATCACCAGGATTGTGCATTCCCTGCTTTGACTGTGGCTTAACAAACTGTTCAGCTGTCAGAGTGTCAGCTGGTACTCACAGCATGGTCATGGGCATTCTCATGTCTGGGAAACAAGCAGAGCTGATTGAACTGCTCCACACCACACTGCAGAGTTAATTGCACCTCAGAGAAAAATTAGGTTTCTCTTTTACTTAGTATAGGCCTGCATCTACCTCCTCTGAATTCAGTAACAAACTGTGACTGATTCTGGGGCACACCTGGCTCCAGTCCTTCATTAGCAGATGGACTTTGGATATCAGTGAGTGAAACTTGCACTTACACTTGTATGTGTAAGATAATATTGATTTTCTATGGGGCCTAATAAATAAATTTCTATTACTTCTTCAGGTCCTAGCCTTGCCAATTATAAAAGCTTGTCATTGTTTGCTGAAGGGCAACATTAGCATTGTTGAGGAAAGCTAGCAACATTCATGTGATAGAAATATAATTAAAATGTGGTAGACTATTAGAAATGAAAGACCAAATTACTGTCTACTGAGGAAAGTGAATCTGAGTGTGTCTAATGACATCCTTTAAAAAGTGATACTCAGCTAAGAAGATATATTATCATTTGTATTCATAATCTGCTATATTAATGCTTTAAAATAGTTTAACTGAGGCAATTAAAGAAATTTTAGGGGGCCTGCATTTAAAGATCCGGTGGAGTATCAAAGTGACAGACATTTCTTTCCCATTGAGATCTCAGATATGCTTAGAGTTCGTGGTATCAAAAAAATGGCAAATGAATATGAAAGCCTAAAAGAAAGAATGCTTCACACACTTAATTGAGATGGCAACCACAGTAACAGGTGTCAGAATAAATATGTTATAATGCTAGTGAAAAATAAACTGAAATAAAGCCGATTTCATTCTGGCCCTATTAAAATTTGATATAGTTTAAGGCAAGTTGAACAGTCCCTGTCCAACCACAGCTACGAAAAAGTCAAATTAGATTATACCACTCTGGATATAGGGTTAGCTCATATAGTGATGAATGGGATTTAACTTCATCTCTGATGACTGTTCAGTTGTGATCAGCACATTCCAACAAATTTACCTTGATTTTCCATAACTGTATTTAAAGCACAGTAACATCTGGCTGGGTAGACAAGGTTTTAGTTTGTACTTGAAGGCTTTGTGTTTTTTAGGGTGATTTTTATGACATAACTACTTCAACAAAAGCTCTTGCATAGACAGAATAACAAAAGGAGAAAAAAAAAGGAAAAGAAATCAAAAAGAAGTGGTGGTTTTGATGTTATGGCTGATGTTGCTTGCCAGACTGGAATGCATCTTATAGGCAAAAAGCCTCTAATTATGTGGGAGGAGTTTACTGGCAGAACTCTACCAGCAGACAAACTTTCAAGTGTAAATAGGAGCTAAGTGCTTATTTAAGTCAGCGTGTCTTCTAACCACTTAACAAAGCATAATTTGTTTTCCAAAACCTCCCCTTCCCCAGCCTCACAGTGGGACTGACTCTTACCCCATTCAGAAGTTAACAGAAGGACACCAGCCCACCTGAGAGGGAGGATCAGGCCTGATCCTTTGGAGAAAGGCTGCATTAATGGGATACTCCCACTAGCAGAGTGTGGTATAATGAGAAAAGCAACACCCTGGGAAGTACAAAAACATGCAAAAAATTAGTCCTGCTTGTCCTACTCCTACTTACTGACACATTTATGTGACTTTTCACCCTCCTGTGTAACTCATGCCAGCTCTAACTTCCTTACTGATCTGTGCACGGGTGCAGCTGGGACAAAAGGGATTTAAGAGATGTTATGGGACACCAAGCAGGCTGTGCCCTGCATGGAACAGGCTCTCCCTCACCCCATCCAGCTGCTGGTTCTGGCTGCCATAACCAGCTGCAGGAGACTCTCTTCTTGTCTGTGGTGTGGCTAGACTGCATCTGTGTGATGCTGTGTGAGGAAGCCTCACCAGCTCAGGTTGTCAATAGCTTGGATCATTCTTCCAACTCACAGAGCAGATGTACCCAGAAAGGCTGGGCTGGAGGTCACATTTACAGGATTACAGCAACTGAGCAGCACTGTACCTGCCCATTGTATTTCTGACCGTTGGCATCACTAATTTAGTAAGCTCTGCCTGTACCCTTTCCACTCTTCCCCCATCCAAAAAACCCCAACACCTAAGTCAGACATGGAAACACCTATTTTGTACTTTTTCTTGCATTTGGGTTGAAAAGGGCAGAGGAAAAAAAATAAGAGAGAGAGAGAAAACTGTAAGATCACATTCCAGAAATATTTTGAAAATCCACAGCTTAATGAGAGAAAAGAACTAAATGCATGAATGTTGTCACTGGCAAGCCATCTGGAGCATGCAAGTGAAAAATGCTTTCAAAATCTTAAAAGTAAATGATCATGCAAAAGCATGAATAGTCTGCACTTGAGGCAAAAGGTGTTTAATTAGAATGGGAAAAGTCTTTGTTCTAAGTAATTAAAGATAAAATTCTAGAGTAGATGAGAGAAATCCAAACTCCTTAAACATTTGACAGTTTTAAAGAGAAATCTGCAAGGGTTCAGGCATAAACCCACACAAGGAGAGGCAGAGGAGGAGGCCAGACTGCTTAGGCAGCTCTACTGAGACATTGCAAGGGCTGAGAAGTCAGTCCCTGTCCATGTAGGGTGATTCAAAGCACTCAAGTCAGGCACACAGGCATTCCCTGCAACCACAGAGTAGAATAAGCAGCCTCCAAAGGGTGATGAAAAATCCCATGTGCTCATCAGAGAGCTGCCTTGAATTAGTCAGGCACCTCAGCTTTGGTCCTTACTCTCAGGGCTTTATTGGATCTTATACTAGATGGCATCTACTTTACATGGGACACAAATAATGCTGGCATCAGGGACAAGCAGTAGAGCCAAAGGAATGAAAAGCTCAAGGAGCCTCATGAAACAGAGGTGTTGGATACCAGTACTGCCTGTGCTAGGACCACACAGGGCTGCTCAGAAACAGGACTGCAAGTGCATGGAGGATGTCACAAATCTGAGATTCAGCAACCAAAGCCCTCATTTGGGGGCTGGTAGGACAACTATGGGCATTATGGTTTTGGAATTTGGCATGGCCAGAAGGAACTGTCTAAGGAGTGAGGCACCCCCATAATTTTGGAGGTCTAACTAAGAAGATGCACATACTACAGTGACTGCTTAGCATGACAAAAGGTTTTATATGACACAGTCCAATTTCCTAAGTGAAAAAAAAAGCCCTGAGGAAAAATTCTCAGTGTGCTATGAGCTGAAAATGTTCTTTTTTCTTTTTCATTTGTTCTGGATACACCATAGTTAGGTATTAGTAGTATAATCTTTTGATTCCAATTGTTTCCAATAAAATCCACACTTTGCAACAAGTTTTGCTGAATGAATGTCATTACTAATCTTTGAATAATTTGGGTCCTATTACATTTTTAATAGCATTTTCCAGTTTAGTGCTTTTTCCCTTCTCTGTAATGGTTGCCATTATAAGTTTATAAGCAGATTTCCCAGCAAGAGGATTTGTTATCACCCAGAGCTTTCCTATGGAAACACTCATCGATATTAGCAACCATTTTTTGAATTATACTTATGACACAATTATACAGCTACCAAGTGCACTGCATTTCTCCTCATTAACAAGATCACTCATGTTTACTGGAATTTATTTTATTGAATTTATGGATGTAAGAGATGACACTGGGAAAAACTGTATTTTTTTTCTCAGTGTTGGCCAAGACAAAAGCTTTAAGATTCTATTCCATCTTCTGACCAGCACATGTGAACAGACTCATCATCTGCTGTGAAGCCTAAACCATTTTCTAGCTACATATTTTAAAAGGGCTTTCCAGAAGTGGAAGTGTGATTACCTAGGACTATGTACTGCAAGCAAATCATCTCAAGCAGGTATCAAATGGTAGGAAAAATACACAGATGCTTACCAGGAATCTTTCCTTCCAGGTGGAACAGAAGAATTAATTTATACACTAGCAAACAGAAAGTCATCTCATTGCTCTCAGAAGAAAAAGGACAAATGTTGAGTGTTATCAAAGATACTGCAGCTGAGTTTCTTACCCTCAAGAAGAAGTTAAAACTACCCAGTGGTAGCTGAAATCCTGTTCTTAAGATCCCTAACCAGACAATTACAGTTTAGTCAGATCAGAAAGCACTCTTATTTTAATGGGTGAGTACATGAGATTTTAACTCTGTCACACTAACTTTTCTGGTCACTTAATTGGAAAGAAGATGCAGAAAATTCCTGGGGACAATCCCAAAAAAGGAGCTCAGCTTTGAATGAAGGATTTACACTGCTTAACTCTGACACTCAGCTTGTGCAGAGTTTTGCTTTTAGAGCACCAAACTGTGTGAGAACCGCACATTGCACAGGTGCCACAACTGCCTGCACTGCAGTACATACCTGACATGTCCAGTGCACAAACCAAAGTGTCCTGCCCAGCCCTGCTGTGTTCAACACAGGCAAGTTCTTGGGGAAAAGTAACAACTTTTTGCTGGTTTGTTGTTTACTGTGTTGGTGTGGTTTGGTTTGGTTTGGGGTTTTTTTTTGCTAACAATGTCAGTGCTCTCCCTTTTTTTCTATGTATCTCAATGCTTTCTTGTTGCTTCAGACTAAGTGTTTTGGTTTCTGAAGGTGCTCATTCAATGACCCAGCTGCCTGTGTCCCAGGTACAAACATTTTGGCAATCTCTACAGGGGCAGAGGACTGCAATGCTTGTCACACTTTTGGCTTTGGATCTACACAAAATGCAGCTCTGTCCTTTTTTCTTTTACGCCTGTGAAAGTCACGGAAGTGTTTGTAAGAAAATGTTTTCTCTTCCACTTGTGATAGAGACTTAGTAGATCAGCTGAAATTGCTTGGATGTTCTAAACTTATAAGCATCATCCCACCAGAGATGTGTTCTTGAATGTTAAATTTAGGCTAATTGGAGGCATATCCTTTAATTTAGCTAGCCGAGGTTACTAATACAGATCAAGAGCTAAAAATTAACAGTGGAGCTGATGTATGCTAAATGCCTAAGTGATATCTTAACCTATAATTATACAAGTTCTGTTAATAGTGAATAATTCAAATCTTCAGGGATTTCAATAGTCTAATGGGCTGTAGTTATTTCCAATTTACATTATGGTTGCTAGGTTTCATTAAAATGAGCAAAAGGCTGCATAGCGTAGCAGAAGAAAATTGGTGTTTGAAGTTATCACCCAGAAATCAAAACATGAAATTTAAATTAGAAGGTGTCCAAGCAGCACAATGACACCAAAGCCTAGGACTGATAATGAGAGTAGGAAGACAGGGAGTTTGCAGGGATTATTAAAGGAAGACAGCACTACTAGCAACACGCTCCGTAACAGCGATACCTTAAATTCCACACTAGTGTATGCAAGGAGTTCAAAACATATTACAAACCTCCATTAAGCCTTGCTACGTTCTTCTGAATTATTTAAATTTTGTTATCTCTGATTTGCAGGTGGCAGGCTGAGGCACGATAAAGCACGAGGCTTATCTGGAGCCATGGGATGAGTCAGGAGGATGCGAGAGCCGCAGCTGGGGACTGAAGCCTCCCTGCCAGCCTGCTGAAGGTACAGCTACCCCACTGCTCTGGGGGCTGCTCAGCCAGTCCCCTCCTCCACCAGCCACTGCCAGGGTCAGCCTCATACCACAGTTCAGTCCTCAGCTGGGCTGAGACACGTGTCTTTGGGAGGGTTGCTGTACACCAGATCACCCAGAGCAACATGGGATAAAGCTGCTGCTTTCCAGAGAGCCAGAGGGAGTTGTTATTCATCTGGATCACTGCAGACAGCTGACTTGCAGTGCAGTCCCAGAAACACATCAGCATGGTGGCAAGGATGGCAAATCACAGTGGGGAGGGAGAGCAGGAGCTTGGAATGACCACCTCCAGCCAGAGCTGGCACCAGGGAAAGTGCAGCGTGGCCAGCCACGGCCACGTGTGTTTTGCAGACCTGGGATCCGCTTTTGGGAGAGCTTGTGTACAATCCCAAACCCAAATGGCAGCTATGGCCTCCTCTTAATCAAGCCCACCCAGGTTTGAGAGTAAGGCCAGGTTTTGCTGACTCAAGGCTTGAACCTGTCAGTGTGATTCATTGCTGTGGTCTCACCCACCTCCTGTTCTTCTGAGCCACACTGTATGTGAGTGAACTATTTTTGGAACAACAGGGTTAAATTAGATTATTTAATAGGCAATAAAAATACCACATAATTTAATAGGAATGAAAAGTGTTTGTTACAATTTTGTAGAAGTTAAGCTGTCTGACGCATTTTGATATGCAAATTTGACTTTCAATTTCTTTGTAAATTCTTCTGGAGCATACTTTAAATATGGAGTGTCTCTGCTTCTTATGAGCAGATTAACAACTAAAATAAATGTTCTTTTCTACCTAAAGATTAGCTATTTCCTTAATGTTTAGTTAGTTGTTCAGGCTGCTTTTTCAAAATTCAGGCTCAAATTCCCCATTTGTATATAATTTCAGTTTTTGAACCTACATTTAAATATCTGAATTTCTCTAAAGAGACGGAAGTACAGAGAGGTTTTGTTTGGTCTTCTTTTAAAATTTAAACACTTTGAAGCTCTACAGTTTCTACCTTAGTGAATAAGCCATGGGATAAAGAGTTATAATTAAATAGTTATTTCTCTATAAAATAGGTCCTTCCAACAGCTTCTTTTTATTTTATTCTGAATCAAAGTAACCTCTTACATCTCAGCCTGAAATAGACATATCCATTTTGCAACATATTGCTAAATTTCTCTAATTTACATAAGAAGCAACAGCAAAACTCCACATACATTATGTTAGCTAAATTATTATTATTATGTAATTACATAATGGAGAAATAGCAAATTCAAACTCTTAAAATGCTGATCACAAAGTATATTAAATTATAGCATTGCCTCAACTGCAGGGCAGGTGTGCTCAGTGGCACACCCTCCATCATGCAGACGATGGGATAAACTGGAGCACAACACAGCTCCCCTCCAGGAGACTGAAGCAGATATTGTAGGCCTTTGCTGTGTCCTGAACCA